GTCTCACGAAGTTACCCTAACTATCAAACCTGCAATATTTCTGCCTCAGTCTCCTCAAAAGCTAAGATTATAGGCCTATGCCACCAGGTATGGCAACCACACTTTCTAAAAAGTTAAAAATGTAATTTAGAAAGATGACTGTCGGGAGGGAATGGGAGAGGGACCTGGAACTGATTGTGAAGCAACCTTGTTTCTTATCTAAATTTAAACTGGAAAATAAAATAAAATAAAAAAGAATCCAAAAAAAAACAAATAAATAAATAATATAAAATAGAAAAAAAAAGAAAGATGACTGTCTTTCTAAAATATATATCTGTTTGACCTTGAAAACATTACCTAATATCACTACAAGTTTGATTAATAGTTGACTAATTACTAAGGCAAATTTCCTTATTCTCCTATATAGTTGGTAATAATAACTTTCAAGGACCAGAAATTTGCATTACATTGTTAAATGAGCTGTATAAGTACAATATCTTGAACAATATTAGAAGCATATGTACAACATGTTTTAACCAAATTAATCTCAAATTTGTATCAATATATAGTATTTGTATACAATATACAGAAGTCTAATCCAATGTAAAATATTTAAAACTGGTCGTTGCTTTTTAGAAGTAGATTTAATAATTTACCTTTTTATCTTATCAGATTTTAGAAGTAGATTCATTAAGCCGGGCGTTGGTGGCGCACGCCTTTAATCCCAGCACTCGGGAGGCAGAGGCAGGCGGATCTCTGTGAGTTCGAGGCCAGCCTGGTCTACAAGAGCGAGTTCCAGGACAGCCTCCAAAGCCACAGGGAAACCCTGTCTCGAAAAAAAAAAAAGAAGAAGTAGATTCATTAATCTACCTTTTATCTTATATCTACAGCCTCCCTTTTTTCTTTTCAGAGTAGATTCAATAATCTACCCTTTTTATCCTATCATATCTATATTTTTAAAAAACAAAATCCTTGAATCTAAACATTTTTGTTCAACTTTCTTCCTGACTGTAACCAACAATATTTTGTAACAAGTTCTCCTAAACAATGACAAATATCCATAACCCAATGAGTGACCCAAAACCACCCACCCCACCTCTTGGGTGTCATGTTCTTAAAGTTACTTCCTGCTGTCTGGGGGTGATGGCATCTTTAGGGGATCCTGAAAAGAAAAATTGGGGTTAACTGTCAAATTGTTTCATCTTTGTCCAGTCTAGTCATAATGGGAAAGTGCAGGGCTTGTCGCAAGTCCTGGCTAGAGCACTCTGTGAGGCTGGATCATCTCAGCTAGCCACCTCAAAATTGTCCTGAGCAGTTTGTAGTCTAAAGTTGATCTTTAGTTGGTATTGTTCACCTTAAGGGTATTATCATAGTCCTGGTGGAATTGTCATTGTGGTGCCCCAGTCTCTTTTTGAAGACTTCAAAGATCACTACCAGGCAAGTTCACGGATCAATGCTAAAAACTGGCAAAGACTCAAACCTGAAATCATGTACAGGGAAGTAGATGAAACCCTTTTCTAGAATTAGTTAGTATTCTATGTGGCCAGTAATATCATGACAAAAACATATATATATATATATGTGTATATATATATGTTGAGATAGTATTATAAAACCAAAGGATTATGACATTAGTGGCAATAAAATAGTCCTTAAACATTTTCTTCTGTCCCATATCAGGTGGTTCTTCTGACATGGGACAGAGATTGTGGATCTTACTTTAAAAGCACACTTTGGTGTAGAGAAGGAGAGAGCCATGCTCCAACTCCAAAGCCAACTTTAATCTTTAATTGGACTGGGACTACAAAAAGACCATTTGCATTATATATATGTTGAGAAAAGCAGAAACATGCATTCGGGAAGATTTATGAAATTTTATCCTCTTATAAATGTGATATACCAATAGGGCAGTGGTGGCACATGACCTTTAATTCCAGCACTTGAGAAGCAGAGGCAGGTGAGTTCAAGGCCAACATGGTCTACAGAGCAGAGTTCCAGGACAGCTAGAGCTATACACAGAGAAACCTGTCTTGAAAAAAAAAAAAGAAGAGTAGCCGGGCGTTGGTGGTGCATGCCTTTAATCCCAGCACGCGGGAGGCAGAGGCAGGAGGATCTCTGTGAGTTCAAGGCTAGCCTGGTTTACAGAGCGAGTTCCAGGACAGCCTCCAAAACAATACAGAGAAACCCTGTCTCGAAAAACCAAAAAAAAAAAAAAAAAGAAAAAAAAAAAAAAAAAGAAAAGAAGAGTAAAAACTTGTAATAGATTGTTCCTTTAAAATGCCACCATCTCAACTGAAATGTGCTGTTGCTGTCACCAAGAAAACCCAGTATCAAGGAAGCTGCAGGAAGGAAGGAAATATTTCACTACTGGTCAATGGTGTCCCCTACTGATACGTACATTAGATTTAGCCCTAATGCAGAGGATAGCGACCTGAGTCAGAGCTCTCCATAGATTTCGGGGACCTGTGTGGTACGGGGGAATGGGAAAAGTCAGTAACGGTAGTGAATGTGGACAAACCCTTCAAGGGGATAGAAATAGTGTTTGGAGGTAGGTGTCAAACAGGGGTCTTTTTAAATGTACAGCTGATTAAGAAGTCCCTGCCTAGAAGCCAAATCCTCAGGTTACTTCTAAATCTGTGTGCATCCCCAGATTTAGTTCCCCACAGACCCCAGGCCAAGCCACACCCAGGGGGACACTGGCCCTCTGAGGAAGGTTGAGTGTCATTAAGCTACACGAGTGGCACCCACATCCCTGTAACGGTTCCCACTGGTGCAGCAGGACAAGGCGGTCAGAGCCGTGGAGGCAGTGGCGCAGTGACAGTAGAACTGAAACCCAGCTTCACCCTGACCTCTGCCTAAGATGCCACCTGGAGCTCCCAGGCACCTAGCTGCTTCCTGCTGGCACCTTTGGACAGTTGCCATGGAAACCACATACCAGGCTGTTTATGCCTGTCATTGCCTGGGAGCGGTCCTCCCACAGGCTTGTTTTCCAGTATTAATGGGTACATTCCTCCCTCCCCACCTCCATCTTCACCCTATAAAACGAGGTTCTTTGGCTGCTGCTTTCCTCTGCTACCGGGCAAGACTTGCCCTGAGGTGTGTGAAATTCGAGACTTTTCATGTGAGTACACAAGAAACACTTTGAAATGGAAACTTAGCCAGTGGGGAGGTGCTGGAGTAGTAAAGTGGGCGTGGCCAGAGGTGCCCTGCAAAACCACACAGATGGGGACCAAGAAAGACTAACTCTCTAGTCCCAAGTCAGGGGCATCACTACCGTCTACGAGTAGGCTAAATGGACACAGGATACAGTGAGCTGCAAGACTCACCAGACCCCATCTGCCATCCTTTCCTATTCCTATAGTAGAACAGCCTTCTATTTGCAAGAATCACAGGACCCAAAGAAGGAAAGAAGGGAGCAGGGTAAGGAAGAGGACAGCCAGAAGGCAGGCTGGAAGACAGGCAGGCAGGCAGGAAGACAGGCAGACAGGCAGGCAGGCAGGCAGGCAGGCAGGCAGGCAGGCAGGCAGGCAGGCAGGCAGGCAGGCAGGAAGACAGGCAGACTAACAAATACTCGTGTGAACAATGAGAATTCCTGGTCTCCTAGAACCAACCTTGGGGTTTATAACTGCCCCATGCTTGAACCCTCCTTAGTAGATTTAAATTCTCACTGCCTGTTCAAATAAGTGCCCAAACTCTCCAGTCAGGAGTCAAACTATACTCCTAGTCCCATGGCATCCTAGCTGTATGACTTTGAACAAGTCACTTATGTATCCCAGGTGGCCTTGAAGTCACCAGGTAGCTGACTGAGGATACCTATGAACTTCTGACCCTCCAACTTATACCTCCCATAGGAACGTGCCACCATGAACCATGAATGCAATGCTGGTGACTGAAGCCAGGGCTTCATGCACATGCTCTACCAACTGAACTCTCCAGCCCTAAGTCTCCCTCAGCTGTAAGACAGCACCTACCTGATGGAGTTGTGGGGGGAGGGTTAAATCAAATAATGCCTGCCTGGGCTTGCATTGCAGTTAAGTTAAAAGGTCAAAATCTTATTCTTGAGGAATCAGTTGCTACTGCTCTGGGATCAGAGTTGACAGCGGAGTCTAAAAGAGTATTCCTTCCTGTGACCAAGGGCAAGACCCCTCCTCTCCCAGGCTTCTGCTGAAGAGAAGCAGTCAGAGCCACACATCAGAGCCAGCCGGGGTCACGTTACCAGTGCTTCCCCTGTTCTCTCCTCCAGCTCTGCCCTGCCCATTACAGAGAGTGGAGCTGACCTGCTTCTGTGCTGTCAGTGTGGTACATGAGGCAGTCACGTACAGTATATGTGACCCGGGACCTAAATTTTAAATTTCATAGCTTTCATCTTGTTTTGTTGTTTTGAATTTTGGAGACAGAGTTTCTCTGTGAAACAGGCCTGGCTGTCCTAGAACTCACTCTGTAGACCAGGCTGGCCTTGAACTCCCAAGTGCTGGGATTAAAAACGTTCACCACCACTGCTCGGCTCACTTCATCTTAATTCATTTAAAGCTAATAGTCAGCCGGGTGTTGGTGCTACACGCCTTTAATTCCAGCACTCGGGAGGCAGAGGCAGGACAGGTTCCAAAACAATACAGAGAAACCCTGCCTTGAAAAACCAAAAAAAAAAAAAAAAAAAAAAAGCTAATAGTCATAGTACTGATAGGGACAGTACTGGACAATGTAGCTCTATGCGTCAAAGAGACATAAAAACAGTCTGGCCAAGGATTTACTCTTCATCTGTCATTTGAATCTCAGAAAGTCTTAGCAAAGAGATACATCAGGCACAGATAGCCCCATTGTGTAGCTCAGAAATAGTCCAGACAATGTTAAAAGGCCTTTTCCATAGCACAAAGAGGTTAAAGACATAGCCAAGACTTTTCTTCCATCTGAAGAAGCAGCACACTCCATGAGAGCATCTCACATCAGCCCCCCAGCTCCTCTGGAAGTCTCTAAGCAAGCTCTCTGCATCTGTCTCCTGCAGCCTCCCTTGAGCTACCCACCTGGAAAAGTTCCTGAACTTGAGCATCTACCCACTGCTCCATCTCCAGCCAGCGCTGCAGATGACCTCGGTCATACTTCACCGTCAGCCGGCTGGGTCTCCGGGACCTGGGCAACTTAGAAATGTCCAAGTGACTCTTTGATTCCGAGTCTGTGGATGATGTCCTCCTTCTCTTCTCAGAATCCCAGTGGACCTTCTTGTCAGGGTTGGGAGATGTACAGGAAGCAGGACTTGAAGGCAACATGGACAGATCGGACATGGCCATGAGCTGGGGGAAACTGCCGGTCCAGGCAAGAGCATAGAGGAAAATGAGGGGACAGAAAATGGAGGGAGAGGCCCACAAGGAAGAAAGGCGGTGGGAAGCCGGCCAAGGCTCTTGGGAGGGGCAGGGGTCAAAGATCAACAGGGCTTTGTTTAGTGCTGGGAATGAGTCTCCTGGCTTCTCTCTGCAGCCAGTGGCATGCAGAACCAGACCCCAGCCTTCTTTGTGCAGCTGCTGGGACCCACAGAAAGGTAAACCTCAGACAAGTCAAGGTCAAGAGGCTGCCAGACCTTGAGAAGAGGAAGGAAGGAGCCTGTGAGTCCTGGGGGAGGGGGGCTCCCACCTGTCTTCCATGGATAGCTCTAGAATGTGACTAAAGTCGCTCACCTGAATGCCCTCAGCATCCCATCTTCTTGGAACTAAATGGCCCACTGCAGGCCAGAGCAGCTGTGGTCAGACAGTTCTGGTTCCTGCTGGAGTAGAATTCCTGCCCAGAGTGAGGCACCTCCAATGGCAATCTCGGCCAGTGTGATAGAGTTGGCAGATGGCTACCTCTGACCCTATGCCTTGTGTCTGGGTGTGTCTGAGTGTGATCTGCTATCAACTCTGCCGCTGTGATTGTTAACGGCAAATTTATGCAGCCTGGCTACATTGCACATTATCACTCTTGAGCCGTGTTGGGGGTCACGTGACCTTCCCCTGATTCAGCTTCTTCCTGATACAAGAATCCCGAAGACCTAACTTCACACAGGTGTCAATGCTCAGATTTGTAAACAAGCTTGCCATCTAAAAGAAGACTATTTTCATTTATTCAGTCTTTATAAAAAATTTTTTAAAGTAACTTCAAGTTACAGAAGACTGGGTTTTTGTGGGTTTTTTGTTTTGTTTTTCTTTTTACCTAACAGCCCAAAGTGACAAATAAATGGAAAAAAAAAAAGGTTTTTTCCCTTCTCCAGATGTAACTACCAATTCCTACCATCATTTTTAGCTTTAGTTCTCTTAAAATAATGATTATCCTTTTATGTGTTATCGTGTGTGTTTGTGTGTGTGTGTGTGTCTGTCTGTCTGTCTGTCTGTCTGTTCATGTGTGTCTGTATGTGCTGGGGACAGAACCAAAGCCTTACGTGTATGGGGCAAGCACTCTATCACTGATGAATAACTGATTGAACCTTGGGTCTTGTACATGCCAATTTTTAAAATGTATGTCTATGTGTTATTGTTGTGTTGAGTGCAGGCAAGCACATGCCACAGCGTATGTGTGGAGACCGGAGGGCAGCATATGTGTGGAGACCGGAGGGCAGCTCTCTCGTCCCTCTTTACTGAAGCAGAGCCCTTCTCGATGCTGGTCCTGCAGCACTGTGTACTCCCAGCTAGCTGGTCCATGATCTGGGTGATTCTCCTGCCTCTGCCTCCATGCCACTGATCAGAGAGCTGGGATTACAGATGTGCAGCACCGGGGACAGCTTTAACTTGGCTCCAAGGACTGACTGAGTTTGGGTCATCCAGGCCCCACCGTAAGACTTTCACGCTCTGAGCCATCTCAACAGCCTACCTTTTCCCCTCATTTCACCAGCCCTACCTTTTCCCCCCTTTTTATTTCTTTTATCTTTTTCTTTCTTTCCTTCCCTTCTTCCTTCCTTTACTTTTTTTGAGCCAGGTCTGATGTAGCCCAGGTTAGCTTCAAACTTGCTACATAGCCAAAAATGGCCTTGAACTTCTCTTTTTAAAATATTTATTTTATTTTTATGTATGCATGTGGGTACATGGATATGAATGCCAGTGACTGCAGAGTCTAGGAAAAGGGTCAGGTTCCCTGGAGTTGGCCTTACAGACAGTTGTGAGTTGCCTGTCTTAATCTGCTTCCTTTTCTTTATTATTATTATTTTTTTTTGAGATAGGGTTTACCTAACCCTTTGAAACAGCCCTGACTCTCCTGGAACTCACTCTGTAGACCTGGCTGACCTTTGACCTCAAACTCACAGAGATCTGCCTGCCTTTGCCTGCTTCTGCCTCCCAAGTGCATAGTACACTACCACCACCCACCTGGTTTTGTTTTTTAGGCAAGCCTGGTCTACAGAGCAAGTTCCAGGACAGCCAAGGCTACACAGAGATCATAGATGAGTGCTGCTTACTGGCTTGCTCCTTATGGCTTGCTCAGCCTGCTTTCTTATAGAACCCAGGACCACCAGCCCAGGACCACTGCCCACAGTGAGCTGGGCCCTGCCACACAAATCATTAACTTAAAAAATGCCTCAAGGGGCAGTGGTGGTGCATGCCTTTAGTCCCAGCACTTGGGAGGCAGAGGCAGACAGATCTCTGTGAGTTCGAGGCCAGTCTGGTCTACAAAGCTACATAGAGAAACCCTGTCTCAAGAAATTAAAAAAAAATTTTTTTCCACAGGCTTGCCTCAGACCAATCTGTGGAGGCATTTTCTTAGTCGAGGTGCCCTTTTTCTAAATGACCCTAGTTTACGTTGACAAAAAACTAACCAGCACACCCTCTGGTCTTCTACAAGAGTGGTGAGTGTTCTTAAAGCTGAGCATTTCTCCAGCCCCATCTTGAACTGATCCTCCTGTCTTCACATCCCAAGTATGAGGATCACACCAGTTTATGCAGCCCTGATCTCTGGAGCTGTAACGTATATGGACTAGGGATGCAGCTCAGTTGGTAGAGTGTTTGCCTAATGTACCAGAAGATCTGTACGACACACTTTAGCTCTAGTTTCAGGAGCAGGGTGTGTTTCTTTGGTTCCAGTTTCAGAACTAAAGTGTTTCTTTCTTTCACTGGCTCTGGTTTCGGGGCCAGGGTGAGTTTCTTTGGCTGGCTATTTTACCCTGCAGTCCCTAAGTTTTGTTTATGAACTTCCTTTTAGGTCTTGTAATGGTTGTCTTGATGATGTTAAGTTTCTATGCTCAGCGTATTGACTTCCACTGTTATATGTTGACTCCTGAGAAATAGCTTTAGAAAAAGCCAGTGCTGGGCATGGCGGCACACATGCATAGTCCCAGGACCCAGGAATCAGAGGCAGGATGGTTATGAATTCAAAGCCAACCTGTGCTATATAGCAAGATCTTGTCTTAAAGTTTAAAAAAAAAAAAAGCAAGGTATGGTAGCTAAAACCTATAATCCCAGGACTTGGGAAAGTGAGGCAAGAGGATTGCTGTGTGTTTAAGACTAGTCTAAAGACATAGTGAGCTCTGGACCAGTTTGAGCTACAAATGTGAAAGCCTATCTTTAAAAAAAATGGAGATTTAGGGGCCAATACTTAACAGAATTTGGTAATCGACTGTAACACACCAATGTGCAAACACCTTAGATGCCTGCACAGGGCACTCAGGCACGGGGCTTCTCTGAGTCTGCTTGTTTTTAGGGTGGGGGGTGGTGAGAATCCAGACAAACGTGCAGCAGGGGCACTTGTGAAGCCCAGTGGCAAAGGGAGACAAAAAGGGTAAAAGACCAGCAGAGGGAAGGTGTCTGTAGCGAGTCTTCCTCTGTTCCGCCAGCTCCCAAATAATGACACGGAGACTTGTGACTAATTATGAAAGCTCAGCCATATCTTAGACTTCTCCCACTAGCTCCTATAGCTGCCCAATAAATTCCCTGCCTTGTGGCCCCTTGGCGCCATGAACGAATGAAGGGCCGGAGTTAAGACAGTTAACTCATTCAACAATGAAAGACTCTTTGCTTTTGCATCAGAATGGGTCTCTTAGTGATTTTGGGGTTCAGAATTTGGGCACAACAGCTTCTGATTATGGTGTTTTATCACAGCAACAGAAAAGGACTTAACACATGGCCTACTCTTGAAGAATATTGTGTTACTTCCCCCATAATTTATTAGAAAGCAATCCTTCGTTGGGCCTGGGGGCACATGCCTATACTCCTGGCACTTGGGAGTGGAGATGGAGGGTCAGCAGTTCAAGGCTGGTCTTAGTTACTTAGCAAGTTCAAAACCTCAAGGCCTGAGGTAAAAACAAAACACACACTAAGCCAAGAGTGGAGACCAGCAGATTTCTGGGGCTCTATGGCTAACTAGTGTGGGATATTTGTACACTGTGAAAATGTATTAATAATAAGTCTCCTTGTTGTTATTTGTGAGCTGGTGGACCAAAGAAAAACCCATCTACAAGCTAGTCTAGCCTACTTAGTGAATTCTATGCAGTGAAAGATCGTGAGGCAAAGTAAAAGTGGACAATGTCTGAGAAACGCTGAGGTTGTCGTCCTGCCTCCACGTGCCAGAGTGCACTTGCCCCACATGTTTAACCACACACATGAGCACACTCACAACTTGTTTCTATCTACACTAACCGAGAGAACCAACAGATTTAAGACAGGTTTCAAGATCACTTTGAAGCAGAGAGCTCGGATTATTGGTATGCATAACTACACCCAGCTCATTAAGAAAACCTTAAGCAAGACTCTACTTCTATAAGATTAAGGCAGCTGGGTAAGGGACTGAAGAGATGTCTCAGTGGTTAAGAGCACTTGCTGTTTTTTCAGAAGATCTGTGTTCAGTTCCCAGCACCCACATGGTAACTCCTAACTGTCCATTAACTCCAGTTCAGGAGGCTCTGATGTCCTCTGCTGGCCATTGCAGCCATTGCATGTACATGGTGAATTTAAATATATAACAGGCAAAACATTCAGGAGATAGATGGTGGCACTCACCTTTAATCCCAGCACTTGGAGGAAGAGGCAGGTGGATATCTGTGAGTTGGTGAATTGCCTGGTCTACAGATCAAGTTCCAGGACAACCAGGGCTACACATACACATAAAAATGAGTAAGAGGGGACTGGAGAGATGGCTCCGTGGTTAAGAGCACTGGCTGCTCTTCCAGAGGTTTTGAGTTCAATTCCTAGCACCCACATGGTTCCTTTTTCTTTCTTTCTTTCTTTTTTTTTTTTTTTTTGGTTTTTCGAGACAGGGTTTCTCTGTGGCTTTGGAGGCTATCCTGGAACTAGCTCTTGTAGACCAGGCTGGTCTCAAACTCACAGAGATCTGCCTGCCTCTGCCTCCCGAGTGCTGGGATTAAAGGCTTGCGCCACCAAAGCCCGGCAACCACATGGTATCTTGCATCTGTAATGGCACCTTATTTCTTCTGGCATGCAGGTGTATATGCAGAGAAAGCACTATACATACATTAATAAATGTTTTTAAAAGTTAAGAAAAAAGGGGGGGACGGGCAGTGGTGGCACAGAAGAGAAAGGGGAAAGACTTTCTGCCTCTTGGGGGAACATTGGGAAAAGAGAGAGGAAGTGGGGGGGGTCTTTTAAAGAGCCAGGGTTCATGGGCTGCAGAGATGGCTCCGAGGCTAAGAGCGCTGGTTGCTCTTCCAAAGGTCCTGAGTTCAATTCCCAGCAACCGCATGGTGACTCACGACCATCTACAATGAGATCTGGTGCCCTCTTCTGGCATGTAAGCAGACATGCAGGCAGAACACTGTACACATAATGAATAAATACTTTTAAAAAAGAGAGAGCCAGGGTACAGACACCTGCCATGAGCAGGTGGGTGAGAGGCGGGGCTGGGTTTGCCTGG